CCCCCGCCACCCCCCACCCGCTGCACCCCACACCCCGCAACCATGCACCCCTGCACTCCAAACCCTGCAACCACACACCCGCTGCACCCCAAACCCTGCACCCACATGCCTGCTGCACCCCAAACCCTGCAACCATGCACCCGCTGCACCCCAAACTCTGCAACCATGCTCCCCCTACACCCAGGCACCCCCTGCACCCCAAACCCTGCAACCATGCACCCCTGCACCCCAAACCCTGCACCCACACACCTGCTGCACCCTAAACCCTTCAACCATGCACCCCTGCACCCCAAACTCTGCAACCATGCCCCCCCTACACCCAGGCACCCCCTGCACCCCAAACCCTGCAACCATGCACCCCTGCACCCCAAACCCTGCACCCACACACCTGCTGCACCCTAAACCCTTCAACCATGCACCCCTGCACCCCAAACTCTGCAACCATGCCCCCCCTACACCCAGGCACCCCCTGCACCCCAAACCCTGCAACCATGCACCCCTGCACCCCAAACCCTGCACCCACACACCTGCTGCACCCTAAACCCTTCAACCATGCACCCCTGCACCCCAAACTCTGCAACCATGCCCCCCCTACACCCAGGCACCCCCTGCACCCCAAACCCTGCAACCATGCACCCCTGCACCCCAAACCCTGCACCCACACACCTGCTGCACCCTAAACCCTTCAACCATGCACCCCTGCACCCCAAACTCTGCAACCATGCCCCCCCTACACCCAGGCACCCCCTGCACCCCAAACCCTGCAACCATGCACCCCTGCACCCCAAACCCTGCACCCACACACCTGCTGCACCCTAAACCCTTCAACCATGCACCCCTGCACCCCAAACTCTGCAACCATGCCCCCCCTACACCCAGGCACCCCCTGCACCCCAAACCCTGCAACCATGCACCCCTGCACCCCAAACCCTGCACCCACACACCTGCTGCACCCTAAACCCTTCAACCATGCACCCCTGCACCCCAAACTCTGCAACCATGCCCCCCCTACACCCAGGCACCCCCTGCACCCCAAACCCTGCAACCATGCACCCCTGCACCCCAAACCCTGCACCCACACACCTGCTGCACCCTAAACCCTTCAACCATGCACCCCTGCACCCCAAACTCTGCAACCATGCCCCCCCTACACCCAGGCACCCCCTGCACCCCAAACCCTGCAACCATGCACCCCTGCACCCCAAACCCTGCACCCACACACCTGCTGCACCCTAAACCCTTCAACCATGCACCCCTGCACCCCAAACTCTGCAACCATGCCCCCCCTACACCCAGGCACCCCCTGCACCCCAAACCCTGCAACCATGCACCCCTGCACCCCAAACCCTGCACCCACACACCTGCTGCACCCTAAACCCTTCAACCATGCACCCCTGCACCCCAAACTCTGCAACCATGCCCCCCCTACACCCAGGCACCCCCTGCACCCCAAACCCTGCAACCATGCACCCCTGCACCCCAAACCCTGCACCCACACACCTGCTGCACCCTAAACCCTTCAACCATGCACCCCTGCACCCCAAACTCTGCAACCATGCCCCCCCTACACCCAGGCACCCCCTGCACCCCAAACCCTGCAACCATGCACCCCTGCACCCCAAACCCTGCACCCACACACCTGCTGCACCCTAAACCCTTCAACCATGCACCCCTGCACCCCAAACTCTGCAACCATGCCCCCCCTACACCCAGGCACCCCCTGCACCCCAAACCCTGCAACCATGCACCCCTGCACCCCAAACCCTGCACCCACACACCTGCTGCACCCTAAACCCTTCAACCATGCACCCCTGCACCCCAAACTCTGCAACCATGCCCCCCCTACACCCAGGCACCCCCTGCACCCCAAACCCTGCAACCATGCACCCCTGCACCCCAAACCCTGCACCCACACACCTGCTGCACCCTAAACCCTTCAACCATGCACCCCTGCACCCCAAACTCTGCAACCATGCCCCCCCTACACCCAGGCACCCCCTGCACCCCAAACCCTGCAACCATGCACCCCTGCACCCCAAACCCTGCACCCACACACCTGCTGCACCCTAAACCCTTCAACCATGCACCCCTGCACCCCAAACTCTGCAACCATGCCCCCCCTACACCCAGGCACCCCCTGCACCCCAAACCCTGCAACCATGCACCCCTGCACCCCAAACCCTGCACCCACACACCTGCTGCACCCTAAACCCTTCAACCATGCACCCCTGCACCCCAAACTCTGCAACCATGCCCCCCCTACACCCAGGCACCCCCTGCACCCCAAACCCTGCAACCATGCACCCCTGCACCCCAAACCCTGCACCCACACACCTGCTGCACCCTAAACCCTTCAACCATGCACCCCTGCACCCCAAACTCTGCAACCATGCCCCCCCTACACCCAGGCACCCCCTGCACCCCAAACCCTGCAACCATGCACCCCTGCACCCCAAACCCTGCACCCACACACCTGCTGCACCCTAAACCCTTCAACCATGCACCCCTGCACCCCAAACTCTGCAACCATGCCCCCCCTACACCCAGGCACCCCCTGCACCCCAAACCCTGCAACCATGCACCCCTGCACCCCAAACCCTGCACCCACACACCTGCTGCACCCTAAACCCTTCAACCATGCACCCCTGCACCCCAAACTCTGCAACCATGCCCCCCCTACACCCAGGCACCCCCTGCACCCCAAACCCTGCAACCATGCACCCCTGCACCCCAAACCCTGCACCCACACACCTGCTGCACCCTAAACCCTTCAACCATGCACCCCTGCACCCCAAACTCTGCAACCATGCCCCCCCTACACCCAGGCACCCCCTGCACCCCAAACCCTGCAACCATGCACCCCTGCACCCCAAACCCTGCACCCACACACCTGCTGCACCCTAAACCCTTCAACCATGCACCCCTGCACCCCAAACTCTGCAACCATGCCCCCCCTACACCCAGGCACCCCCTGCACCCCAAACCCTGCAACCATGCACCCCTGCACCCCAAACCCTGCACCCACACACCTGCTGCACCCTAAACCCTTCAACCATGCACCCCTGCACCCCAAACTCTGCAACCATGCCCCCCCTACACCCAGGCACCCCCTGCACCCCAAACCCTGCAACCATGCACCCCTGCACCCCAAACCCTGCACCCACACACCTGCTGCACCCTAAACCCTTCAACCATGCACCCCTGCACCCCAAACTCTGCAACCATGCCCCCCCTACACCCAGGCACCCCCTGCACCCCAAACCCTGCAACCATGCACCCCTGCACCCCAAACCCTGCACCCACACACCTGCTGCACCCTAAACCCTTCAACCATGCACCCCTGCACCCCAAACTCTGCAACCATGCCCCCCCTACACCCAGGCACCCCCTGCACCCCAAACCCTGCAACCATGCACCCCTGCACCCCAAACCCTGCACCCACACACCTGCTGCACCCTAAACCCTTCAACCATGCACCCCTGCACCCCAAACTCTGCAACCATGCCCCCCCTACACCCAGGCACCCCCTGCACCCCAAACCCTGCAACCATGCACCCCTGCACCCCAAACCCTGCACCCACACACCTGCTGCACCCTAAACCCTTCAACCATGCACCCCTGCACCCCAAACTCTGCAACCATGCCCCCCCTACACCCAGGCACCCCCTGCACCCCAAACCCTGCAACCATGCACCCCTGCACCCCAAACCCTGCAACCACACACCTGCTGCACCCCAAACCCCTGCAACCATGCACTCTGAACCCCAAACCCTGCAACTAGGCACCCCTGCACCCCAAACCCTGCACCCACACACCTGCTGCACCCTAAACCCTTCAACCATGCACCCCTGCACCCCAAACTCTGCAACCATGCCCCCCCTGCACCCAGGCACCCCCTGCACCCCAAACCCTGCAACCACGCACCCGCTGCACCCCACACCCTGCAACCATGCACCCCTGCACTCCAAACCCTGCAACCACACACCCGCTGCACCACAAACCCTGCACCCA